ATTTAAGTTAATTTATAATATTTACCATAATAGAATTTAGCTAAACATTATTATAAAGAAAAATGTTAAGATGCAAATTCCTACTATTATATTTTTAAAAAAGTTATAAGAAAAAATACCTTCATTCATTTTTATTATAAGTGAAACAAGATTTTAGCAGAGGGATGTGCAATGAAATTTTTATTATTAATGGCCGATCTGTGAATAAATGAGTAGGTTCAGCTCTGCTGAACCATTCAAGCATCCATTACACAAAAATCAAATTGTTCACAGAAAAAACAAGTATTTAAATGAAAATGTGACAGTGAGCTTTGTGTCTACTCATGCAATGACATCACTCAGGTCAAGACAATAGTCTATTTTATTAATTCAAAAAAATACAAATAGGATGGCTGTTCCTACATTTTTTTTTCGTTTTTTTTGTAGAGAAATTCCTCAGGCCATTTCAGCGCATGGAACTCAACTTTCTACAACATCCCTATCCATCTTCAAGCAATCAAGTTTACAGATGGTGAGTACATTCAAACCATGAAATCATTTATCATTATACAACATCATACAAAATGGTCAAAAAATAAAAATGCCACCACACCAAGTGTTTCATAGCATTATAACACATTCCTTTACCAGATGTTTTTCAAATTTCCACAGGTAACCTACAATAGTGAAATCTTGCACAATAATGTCCTTTGCTATTTTTAACCTCGCTTCCTTTCACAAAGTATATCCAAACATTTTGAAGAAGGTCGTCCAATAATTCATGAATTTCTATTAATAATCTTGTAAAAATTTCCAAGTCATGTGCCAAAAGTTATAACTCATTTATTGGTTCAAATTATGCAGATCTAATCAAAATAATCAATTGTAAAGATAGTGATTTTTGTTTGAGAATCGGGAATAAAGTTGTTTTGCATTAGAAATTGTTTTTTATGATTCAACAAAAAATATTGATTGTCGGAACTTTAATTAATGTTTAAAATTTTTATGAACTTGCATTTTCATTGTGTAGAAAAATAATAATAATCTGCAGATAAAAGTTCTTCTCACGCTGTCTAAATAATAAATCTAATGAATACCAAAAAAAATTATCACGTAACCTTACTTTCTAAAGGTGAGATTGTTCCTAATTTACATTATGGAATAAATGCTAAAGAATGGTGGATTCAAGCTTTACCAAACGCAAATAATATTTCACCATTATATCCACTCAGAGTTGGTATGAAAACTCTAATAGAATTGAAAGGGTATTATTTTGTTATTACTATTGTTAAAGGTAATATTATTGGTTCTGGATTGCCTGGCTATTGTTTTCAATGTGGCTCATTTACGATTACTGTTGAAGATTCTCTTACCACGGCAATTTCTAACTGTTTAATGTTAATACTAGATTTTCAGGCAAAAAAATTATAGGTTTTGAAGATCAAAAAATTTTGAAAGAATTATTGACTGATGTTAGTTTTCAATCACTATTGATTCTGCTAGATAAAATATCTATTGGCATATTCAAAATAGGGTTTTCATCAAACGAGGAATGACATGGAGCAGGTAATGATTATTTATCATCATTTTCGTATACATACAAGAAAACCAACTGCAATTTTATACAAAAAATATTGAATGGATTATGTCATGTTGAGATTTGGAATAATTTGAACAAAATGGATAGTTTTGTTGAAGATACACCCACAGCAGTTTGGCAACATATTGGAATTTTATCTAAGTATACTGGTGATCAACTATTTGGTTTGAGGACTCTAACATACAGAAAATTTTATCTGATAATAAAACACTTATGCGTGTACCTTCTGATTGGGTCAATTTAGAAGCAATGGAAAAATTATACAATCATTATAAAAAAAACAATTTCAAGCATTGATTGGTATGACTTTTTTTTAACTTGGTTGGATCTAAAAGATGAAGTAATTGGATTATATACAGAATTGTTAGAAATATATCCACAAGAACATAGGTTTAGTGAACATGGCATTCAATGTTGAGATCAACTGGCTGTAAAAATATAACACCTTTTCCAAGCAAAGAATCACATGTACGTACAATTTTATTTATTTATTCTTTAAATTTATTTTTATTGGATAATTATTTAATGGACACTATTTTAAGTTTGAATATTGGACTAGAGCTGAAGATGAATCCAACAATAAAAAACATTCAGATATTTATATGAAAATGGTTTTTTAAATTTAAATCCAGATCAACAAAAAGACTCAATACCAAAATTTTGGAAATGTTTTAAAGTATCATTAAAAAATAAAAATAAGGGTAGTTATGGTATACAACGTATATTTCATATGCGCTGATTTTGTTTGATCCCCAAAATTCAGTACGGTATGATCATAACATTATGAATATTTTATACTAGTAAAAACCCATTGGTTTTGAGGTGGGGCCATTGGTTTGACGGGTTGATGGATAGTAAATTAGTTTTTTTAGCGGAGCAAATAATTTTTTTTAGGGTAATGATCATTCTACCGACCAGTTTACACTTTAAAAATACTCGTGTTTAACATTGAGACACAAGGTTTGAAAAAAGGCCCAAAAAACCAAATCGGCTGATATGTGTCAATAATTGCACCAGAATTTTCTTATAAAGAATTACAGTATATGTTGGATGTAAGTTCTTTTATTTACTATGTTTCGATAAAAATAAAATTAATTAATTTGTCAATTACAAGGTCTCACCTTCAACAATAAATAATGCTAGGAAGTATGCACGTATTAATGGAGCACTACCAACTGTGTAAAACATAGTAAAATTTAGATAATCTGCATCATAGTAAAATTCGAATTTACATAGCAACCACCACCAAATTTGAGATATAACTTCTTTATCATATGTATCTGCTTTAAGAAAATTTTTAAGGCAAGTTGTTAATAAAACCGACCCTCAAAGTCGAATTTTGCCTTTATATTCATATACGTAAAATTTGTTGACGCGTCCAATTGCAAGTATAAGCAGAAATAAATGTCCAAATCTTACATTATTATGAATGTTTACAGATTTTTGATCACTTAGGTATGTTTTTTATAGTAAAATCATTTATTTTAAAAGTAAATATAATAAATAAATAGATTTTAAAAATTTTCTTTACCTATATACATAAATAATGATTAGAATAATTGATAAAACGTTCATTTTTGTAAAACTTGCTTTGCGAGCTTCATATATCTTGTCCTTAACACTTAATTCGATCACTCCTATACAACTATTGAATAATTGATAAATATTCGTTAGTATATTTTGTTCATAGATCTTGTACTTATCGCTTACTTCGATCACTCATATACAAACCATTGAATAATTGATAAAAAGTTTGTTAGTATGTTTTGTACATAGATCTTATACTTGACGCTTACTTCTATCACTCCTATACAAACTATTGAATAATTGATAAAAAGTTTGTTAATATGTTTTGTTCATAGATCTTGTCCTTAACACTTAATTCGATCACTCCTATACAAACTATTGAATAATTGATAAAATGTTTGTTAGTATGTTTTGTTCATATATTTTGACCTTGACGATCACTCCTATACAAACTGGATCTTAATCTTTATTATCATCCTCAAAAAACGATGATTTTTTATCGTCATTTGCTATTTATTGCTACTAATATTATTGTTTAATGTTGCTATAACAACTACTGATTGATGGATATTCATAATAACCATTAATGAAACTTTAACCAATATAAAACAATCACTAATAAAATACCTTTTAGTTTTTGCTGAATCCCATCTACATAAAATTCTTCATGACTATAGAATTTCTATAAAATAATTTTTTGTGAACCTCTCTAAAACTTATTAACCAATACCCCCATAAAGTAATGACCATATGAAAGCTTAAAGTATTCTACACCTTCTCATTTACTATCAAGTCTTTAAAAGCGATATTGAGAATTAATCTGAGGTTTGAAGTGAAAAGTAATACCGTTTTTGAATAGCCGTGAATTGATGTAGAGGATACCTTTCGATATGAGAGAGTATTCGTTAGAAAGCTTTAATGGAGTATTTCATTTTACTCTAACAACGAAGTTCGAGTTATGATAAAAGTAACGAGATATTTAAAAAAATTCATGTGACACGAATTTCGGATTTTATTTTCGTTTCAACGGATTTTTGTTTTTACTTGATTTTATTAACAGTCAAACGATATGTCACAGGAAGTATAATTACATATTAGCCGGACGACATTTCACAGTGACTGATTTTAATATATGATCGTTCTGTACAACGGACTTTGGCGAATGAATTGAACGTAAATTCATTATTAAACAATTTTCGTGCCTCTAAATAAAAACAATCACTTGCCTTTGACCTTTAAAACGCGAGCTTTATGCGCCTGTAGCTCTTCCGGTTATGGAGTAACAGCCTCTCAAAGAAACCTATGGTTTTTGAATTCGGAAGCTTAATTCTTTTCAGAAATCAGCTCTATTGGGATCGTTTTAGCATGATAAGACAGAGTACATTGAGAGCTTTCAGAAAATATATGATTTGTATGGGTTTATAGGAGTAGGAAGAAATTAAAAGCAAAAAATGGTTTTATAAGTTATTTATTATAAGAACTTTTCAATAATTTTTTTTTGCATTATCATTATTGTTTTCTAATTTTTGTTACAGTATATTAATAATGATTAGACAATATATGAAGACATAATCTTTTAATTGGAGTTTCTACTCAAAAGGTTACAAAAGAAATTTTTTTTTAATATATTGATTAATAATAAATTAATAATTATTAATATAGATGATAATAATCTTTAAATTTAGAACTTTGTTTATTTATTTTTATTGAGAAGAATTTTTAAGATAGTATGAATAATAAGTCCACTGTAAGGAGATTTTTCTTTATAGTGGAAATTCGTTATAATGGACAAAAATGCCTGGAACTAAATTTCCATTATAACGAGCTTTGACTGTATTATTAAATTTTACCATAAAAATTTACATTGTAACTGATAAATTAATAGAAATTTCTTTTTATAATACATGTTTTCAAAAAAATATATTGTTAGTTGAATTTTGTTGTCACCATTTACAATGTGCTGAAATATATGATAAAGATACTAAAAAAATCCGCACATAATAATTTGTTATATTGATGTAAAGAATTGGCAACGAATCTCTCTTTAGAAATTTTCGAAAGAAAAGGAAAATTTTCGCTTCACAAATTGATCACGTTGTGTAAATCTTTTGATCACTCAAATTTTTTTTAGTTATTTATAAGTAAAAAAAAAATAAAATGAAATCATTTGATTAAAATCGAGCCTTTTCCAAAAAATGTGAAGAAATATTTTTCCCACCACTAAAAATTTGGAATTAATCCATTATTGTTAAAGAAAATTAATTGAAAAAGATCCACTAAAGAAATTAATCTATTATTGATTTGGTATTAACATTTATTATTTAAAAAAAATATATTTTATTAATTTAAAGGAAATCAATCAAATTTTTTTTTTGAAAAGATTCTTGCCCTTTTGTAAAATGAAGAAAAATGTAACAATTTGGGAAATTGTTTTATTAAAATATTATTTCTAATATGGTTGGCTCGGTTTAAAGACCTCCTATTGCTGCGCCACACGCTCAAATTTCAAAAATTGCGATTTCATGATTCGTTCAAAAATGCAATAA